AAATATATACAATTATGTATCAACAAATTTTTTTTTAATTTTAAAAATGACTTGATCATAATATTAGGGCATTATTGTTAACTTTTTGGTGTGTATTGTGGTTAATTTCTTGTCTTTTTTTAAGATATAAATACTGAAAAAAGTATTATATGAAGATTATATTGTTCTATTCCTATATACATATATTTTTAAAAACTATTTAACAGCTAATTTGCTTAGGCTCAAAATAAAATTATTTTTTCCATTAAAGAATGACACTGACACAAAAGTGACAGGCCAAGGGAATGTTAATAATTTGCAGGTCTTAAGCCTACAAACTGAAGGTCTCTGGACTAGCTGCCCCAAACCAGTTTAACATTGGTAGTTGATAGTGGAAAAGTAATAAAGATGCAGGGAAGATTGGTCATAAAATCACATGCTATTTTGGAGTTTTCAAGAACAGAAGGAGTAGCTCCTGTTATGTACTTTCTAAGAAGTCCCTTATTATGTCTCCTGATTCAATATAATAGAATGAACTATATCTAAATATACATATGGAACTAATACTTGCTCTACTTTAATATTCATAAAAATAACTTAAAAATTATAAGTATTCTTACCTGTTGAGAAAAGAGAGTATAACTGTCCTCCATAAGCAAGGAGGATACTAGATACAACATAAGCAGGAAGAGCTCCGCCATGAAATCTAACTACCTAGAAAATAGGCAAATTGATGGACAACTTAATATTCATGAATATTCATGTTAACAAAATAAATGTACTTTGGCACAAAAAAGTTGTTCTTCACTTTATACTCTTCATGACACAGCCACAAAGGTATTTCCAGTAATGACTATCAAAAACTCTAAGTAAAATAAATGTTAAGAATATATAGCCTATTAGAAACACCTGAATTTTTCATCAAAGGCATAATAGAGAGAACATATAATTGAGTAGCACATGCTACAAAACTGTTTTTCAAGGCACATTTATCGAGCATTTCATATGTTCCAGGCATGATACTAAACACCTTATATGCATTATCTCATGCCTTCCTCCCAAAATCCTTTGAGGTCGTTCTTACTCCTATTTAATAGGCAAAGAAATTCAGGCACGGGAAACCTCCCTTAATATGTTGAAATAAAAAAAACAAACAAACAAAAAAAAATAATTCAGTCAAAATGTAAGCCAGTCAAAGCTTGTGCTATAAACCAGCTTTGTTTTTTTTTAAAAAAACCAACCAAACAAACAAAAAAACAAGTTACTTACCTGTCCTTTTCTATTCCCTTATCAGTAAAATGGTACAATAATAGTATTTACCTTCTAGGTGGTTATGAGCATTAAATATGCTCACTTGTATAAAACATTCACAATATTAACTTGTATGTGATAAGTTATCAGAAAATGTTATCTGCTATTAGTAGCCTTTTATGTCCTTCTGTGTTTGGAAATCTTATGGAACTGGGTTTTAAATTCACAGCCTAAATTTAGAACCATTGTTATATTAATAGTGCCTGTAGTCATTTTATCAGCTAATCCAATCTCTGTTTAGAACAAATAAAAATAAAGTATTAAGTTCTTCTTTTAAGGTTACATTTTAAAAGGAAATGTACTTTAAAGCATGTTCTCCATTCCACAGAATTTTTTAGAATACATAGACTCCCCTGGTAATCTGATAAAAGCTATGGAAATACATGCAAGCTTACACAAAATGTTGCATAAAATTTCAGAAAGTTCAGGGTCTCCCTTAAGTTCCTCCATAGAGTCTCAGGTTAAAAGAGATTAGAAAAACAAAAAAATGTATAGCCCGTACTCATGATTTACAGTTTATAGCTTTGAGTGGAGGGAGGAGAAAGTTGAACAAAACAGAAAAGCACATTTTTCTATCTACTACTAAATGATACTCATTGCCTGCTAATGACAGGTTGGGAAATACATAGCGTACTTTAGTTATCCAGCGTATGAAAGGAAAGTTGAACAGAATAGCAAGCTCAGGAGTAAGACCCCTGGATACAAACCCCAGCTTTGCCTCTCACCAGCTCTGTGTCCTTGGGCAAGTTACTTTACCCCTCCTTGTCTCTATTCCCTCATGGGTAAAATGAGATAAATAGCATTTACTTCACAAGGGTATGAGGCTTAAATGTTTTCACACTTATGTGAAGCATTTGGAATAGTAATTGGCACATGGTAAAAGACTGTTAAATGTTAGCTGTTAATATTACCTTTAATGCCCTTCACTGTCTTTATAATCTTTTAAGAGGTTCTACACAGAGTATTGTGAGCATAAAATTTCTTTTAATGACAAGTATCATCATTATGAATATTAAGTGTTATACTGGGCTACGGATACAGCTGGGTGTATAATGTACGACTAAATAAACCATCATAAACTGGCCCCCATGGACCATAGTCCAACTGTACACATGCTTCATTTGGCTTAGTATTTAGCACAGTTATTTCCTTAAATTTTGAATTAGATACCAACATTGAAAAACTAAAAGATTTTTAATTATACCTTGCCTGACACAGCCATAAAGATATTTCCAGTAATGAGTATCAAAAACTCAGACTAAAGGAAATGCTAGGAACACACAGCAAATTAGAAACATCTGAACTTTTCATCAAGGGCATAACAGAGAGAAATATAATTGAAATCTAAAAATACAGATTTCCAACTTCTCTTAAAATCCAAAGATCTGGCAACATTAGACTTCACTCCTACATAGTAATGATTTACTAGAGCTTATGGAATTCTCTTGAGAAAGTAACTTTTAGTTTGCATTTTGCCCTCTTTTTCATAGTAGACTAAAAAATATGTAAATATA